ATTTATTGGTCAACAGTAATCAAGGAAACTCAACATTTAGAGAGAAAAAATATTTAGATCATATATAATTAATAAAACAACTTGGTTTCCAATGAGTAGATAATACTTTGGTTCTCACTTGGACTATAAAGAAAGTTAGTCAAAGAAGCTTCTAATTTTCAATGCTTAGGTGGTATTAAAAAAAAAACACACTGAGTAAAGAACTCAAATATAGATTTAAATCCCATTCTGCCACTCCCTTTATATGATCTAGCTCAAATTACTCAATCTTGCTAAGTTTCAATTTCCTTATATATAAAGTAGGAATAGTAATTGTGTTGTAAAGATGAGATAAAAAAGTTAAAGCACTTAGGGTAATTAATGCATGGCACACAACAAGTACTTAACAACTGGCAGTTACTATAATCAAATACATTTTTAGAAATTACTGCAATGATTTCTTAAATAAAGTAGCCAATGTCTATATATATTGTGAAAGATGATTGGGAAAAGAACTAGAACTTCACAAATAGTATAAACTGTAAAAAATCCCAGGATTATTAGGTGGTCACAATGGGACACGAAGGAAAAAAGTGTGAAAAAAGGTTGACAGTAAGCAAGCCCATTTGAAATTTTATAATTTTTCCTTAACAATAATAAAGAGGTATCCTGATTTCTAAGCATAATATGTCACGCGCCAGAGATACCCAATACAAATAAACTATATATTTAAATAGTTAAATTTCTTCATGGTATTTAAGAGTAGCTACATAGAGAAAGAACTTTGAAACTTTAACTTAACTACTGTTTAACAATAATACCTACATTTGAATTAAAAGCTGAGAACTTTTGTGTTAACTATGTATTGAAAATTGAATGACACATAAAAAATATAATATTTAGGCCAAACCTAAGTTGTACTGGTTGGACATATTCCTTGCGAAATCTTTTAAGGTCTGCACTGATGGGCTGCTCGCCTTTCTCTATTGCCAATTTGTCTGCTTCAGTAGGTTCTGGCTCTGGAATTTCAAATCTAAGAAGAAAAGCAAAAGGAAAGAAATCTGTGCATACATAAATGAAAAGTATTTAAAATACAAGAGGAAGAATATTTTGACTGAGCAATCCTCTTTCCTACCACTTCAATGAAAGGTACAATTATTGTTTTTTAAACTTCCTTTAAGGCTAAGGTTCCCAACCCCTGGGCCGAGGACCAGTACAGGTCTGTGGCCTGTTAGGAACTGGGCCACAGAGCTCTACCTCCTCCCACCCCTTGGAAAAATTGTCTTTCATGAAATTGATCCCTGGTGCCAAAAAGGCTGGGGACTGCTGAGTTATGCTTTAAATTTAGACATGAGACTAGCAACAAAGAAGCAATCAATGGTGAGTGGCGGGTGAGCGGGCGAAGCTTCATCTGTATTTGCAGCCACTCCCCATCTCCCCATCACTCTCATTACCACCTGAGCTGCACCCCTACCCACCCTGCATCCATGGAAAAATTGTGTTCCATGAAACCAGTCCTCTGGTGCCAAAAAGATTGGACACCACTGCCTTAAGGTATGACATGCTACAAAAAATTGCCCTGGGCTATACAGTGCTAAGGTGTTTTTATCAAAAAGTTTTATAACTAGCACTGATCAACACAAAAAGGCCTATGGAAAAGAGCCAAGAAAAGAACCCATAAGGAGTATAACCTCCTTAAAGAACATGACAGAAATGTCTTATCTAAATAATCTGTCCTTAATATTTATGTTATTAAAGTAGATAAATTAAATTTCCTTAAATAAATGAGTATAAATTCAAACAGAAGGCCAAAACTGACATTTTAACAATTTTTAAAGAATATACCTAAGTGGGTAAGATAAAAATCAAAGTTTAAAAAAAAAAACCTAGACTAATCATGGGAAATATAGCTAAAATATAAATCTAACAAGTGTGTTTTCCTTATTTTGGATACAGAAATAGGACTAAATAGATCTTCATAGCGCATTACACTGATTCAGTCTGGTAAATTTAGTTTCACAGAACGACACAGTGATAGAAATCAAGATAAATTCTGTTAATAAGTTTTTAAATGTGAAACAAAAATCATCTAAATGTGAAACAAAAATAGTCCAGATTCTATATTTTAAACTATAAAGCATTTGAAATATCACTAAAATACTAAGAAAAAAATTCAACCCAAAACTTATTTTTTAAAAATTAATAATAAAGGAATTGTTAATTTTTTAGGTTTAATAATGATATGTGATTTTTAAAAATAAGAGTCCTTATCTTTTAGAGATACACAGAGAAATATTTACAGATGAAATATGTAGTCTGGGATCTATTTCAAAATAATCCTGAGGGTAGGGTGTTTAAATCTGTAGGGAAACAGATGAAACATGAGTTGATAATTACTGAAGTTGGATGATGGATAAATGGGTTTATTATTCTTCTATCCACTCTTGTATATGTTTTGAAATTTTTCATAACAAGTTTTAAAAGTGAAGAGCAGAAAAGTCTCTTCTAAGGAAGGATCATTTTATTGACCAGAACAATTTTCATAAAAATGCTAAGTTTTTTTAATCCTCTAAATTGGTCTTTCAGGTTACCATCTGAAATATTGCTAAGAGATGAAAAGACCTCTATTATAAACAGGGATTTCAGGGAACACTTTATTTGAAGAGAACAGTAATACTGACAAATACATTATGTTCAATAACTACTCAAGTATGTATTATGTACGAGGTACTTTGCAAGGCATAAAATGAACAGTTAACTTTTCACAAAATGTCAAGGTGAGTGAAACATATTTTTCTTACCGTTCAATCAGTAAGCTTAGCAATTCCTGTGGTTTACAAAACGAACGATATGTGGTAAGAAAAGTACGAACAAAATTGGGATCTGAAAAGGCAGAGCATAAAACAGGTTTCACATTTAATTTACTCAGTTTAGTTAATTCAGAGTACCCTATGTTGGAGGCCTTCATTCCTTTTTCTTCTTTCTTTGGCTCCTCCCACTGTGGCTTTTCTAGCCAATTGTGGTTTTTGGTTTTGTTTTGTTTTTTTTTGAGATGAAGTCTTGCTCTATCACCCAGGCTGGGGGTGTGGCAGCACAATCATAGCTCACTGCAGCCTCTGACTCCTGGGCTCAAGCAATCCTCCTGCCTTAGTCTCCCAAGTAGCTGGGACTATCAGCTCATGCAACCAACCACACTCCGCTAATTTTTTAAATTTTTCGTAGAGACAGAGTCTCCCTCTTTCCTAGGCTGGTCTTGAACTCCCGGCCCCAAGCTATCCTTCCACCTTGACCTCCCAGAGGGCTGGGATTAGAGGTGTGAGCTACTGCACCCAGCCCGTGGTATTTCTTGATAAATGAGGATTGTTTTCAATTCAAGATTCATGAATATGAAAATTTTATGAATATTTACTAGTTATTGTTACATTTTTAGAAACATAAAGCTATTTATTCCTTTTGCTCATGCAGTATTTTTATATTTTGGAGGCAATACATTTTTTTTTCCCAAGCCTCAAATATTCTTGAACATCCTTAAAAAGCTTTTGGATCCTAGGCCCTAGGTAAGCATTTAGAATGAGTTTCACATACCTGCATACATATGATATGTTAACCTTTCAATTAATTTCACCACAGTTCCTCCTTTAATAATGGGGATTCCACTTCGACTTTGCAAGTTGTCTTCAAAAACAATGTTTTCCTCAGAGTCTTTTACTACAAAACGATACACCTCTGGACTTGGTAATCTCAGCGGCTGCTCGTTTTCTTCTTTCAATAATACTGAATCTAGCATTCGATCTAGAGTACTACGATAATGAAGAGAAATAAGGGCTGCCATCCAATTGTTTTTCTCTTCAGCAGACTTAGCAGCAAATATTATGCTGTTTTCATCTTTGGATACTAATTCAAAAGCATGTTTGTACTCACAAGTATCTTCTTTATCACAGATTTGTATTTTCCTCATGACAAATTTTTCTTTTAATCTGTATTCTGCACTACTGTAACCCGGAAGTCGGGTCTGGCCATGATTAGGTTTACAACTGATCATTAAGCCGTCAAAGAGAAAAATATGCCGTTCATGTTTAGCACCAATTCTTGTCAATGGTCCTTCCATAATGAATTCATTACAACACTGTCCAATATCTTTGCCTTCCCATCCATCTATGTTTTTCTGAATTTCATTCATTTTTCTGATAGCCAGGTGCTTGCTTCTTAATTGACGATTATAAAAAGGGCAAACAGGATCCCTAAAAACAAAAATACCAAGACAAATTTAGCCTATTCGATGGCTAGGCAACCGTAATTACTTCAAGTATAAACTACCTCAAATTGAGTGACAAAAATATTAAGTAACCAAACACTAGACTTTACACACAGCATTTACTTTCTTCAAACTTTGCCACTAAATGATACATGCCTCAATTTCATTATTATGAAAGAGAAGAACTATAGGCTCTATATTTCGTTTTTAATGCCTTAAGAACTAAAATTACAAGGAATCTTAAATTTTACAGATTATATGAGAAATTATTAAATACATCTTTTAAAAAATTTCTTAAGTATATTTTAACAATATGGCAATGCTAATCTTAAGACTAAAAGACGAAAAGAAAAATGTGAAAGAAAAGTATAACTTTCAGGAATGCGTCATACTTCTTTAGAAAACCTGGCACCAGATACAGTGAAGTATGCAGAAGCATTCATATTTTCAACAGTTTGGAATTACCCAGGTCGACGTCTAGGTGAATACTGCCTGTAAATTCGGTCCATGCTACCTTGGAGATTCAGGAGAGCAGTAATAGCTTGGTTCAAACACTCTCTGTCTTCTTGCTCTTCGCTACATGCTTTCAATTGCTAAGAAAAACCAAAAACAAAAATTAAAACTGCATTGTTGGATTCTTCCCCCAACTTTCTAGTATCTAGAAAAAACAGCAACAAATACTATCAACTCTAAATACATTTTAAATATACTTAATAAGAAAGCTTACAGTTTTATATAATTATGCATACTTCTGGACCCCTGAAACCAACCCTCTTTCTACACATATAAATACAATACAAAGTACTGTTAGCATAGCGATTAGTAAAAAAAGCAACTGTAGAAACCATTTGGACATTTTCCACATATATAAAAAGAGTGCAAAACATCTTAAACATAAAACTTATAAGTCACTTTTATTCAACTATGAATAGAATAAGATAAACTCCTACAAATTATTTCATATTCTCTAATATTTAAGTTTTAGTAATTTCAAAAAGCTTACAAATCTTTGTTATACAACATAATCAAGTATTAACTTTAACACTTCAATCAGTCATAAACTTTTCTTCAAAGAGCATCTCACAAAGGATTCCACTAATATTTTTTACAACATAAAATTCAACCACTCTAGTAAATACCAAGAAACCATGAAAATTAATATTGTATCTTACTAACCCTTAGAAATAAGATTTGTAAATTGATTTAATACCCAAAACTCCAGCTTTATTTTATCTATCCAAAAAATTCTCTTACATCTCACTCTCAGAAAGAAAATTTACCTTATCATAAATAATTCAGATTGGATTGTGCTACAGTGTTTCAATTTTTTTTGACTGAAGAGTTCAAAGTGGAGCATTATATAGATTATATAGATATAAATATACATTTATGCAAGAATATAGGAATTTGTGATCACTTTCAGAAAATTTTTAAAAATTTAAAACTATTTTGGGTTTTTAAACGAACTTACTAGAAGTTTTGTGATAAATTAAAATTTTCCTTATATTTCAAGAACAATCTCAAAAGCATTCGGCAATGACTCCCTTTCCTCAGCAAGGAAATGACTAGATATTGTTTGAGAACTTGGTCCATTACCTTTCATTTACATGTTCTAAAAATTATATGGAACACAGAGCCATCTGATTTGTTTTTAAAGATACATGTAGAGGTCTTGCCATCAAAAGATTAACAATGGAAATAATTTAAGTGACTATGAGAAGTAATACGTTAATCTCTAGATTAAAGAATAAAGAATTGAAAGTATGAAATGGAGAAAAGTCAAAATACCACAGAAAGTTTGAAAAAGGATCAGTGTTTGGTTATTCTGATTTTTAAAGGTAAAAATTACTAGCAAAATCACTTATTTTGCTGCTTTAAAGAGTTCTTACAAAAAGATCCTTCTCAGCTCCACTTGAATTGTTTTGTTGATCTAAATTTCCAAATTATCATTAATTATAAGATTCTACCAAAAAGGTACGAGGAAAATTTCTATTGTCTACTTGGTTTTAAGGCTGCTCAAACAAACTCTTCCACGCCTTTTTTTTTTTTTTTTTTTTGAGAGATAGAGTCTCGCTCTGTCACTCAGGCTGGAGTACAGTGGTGAGATCATAGCTTACTGCAGCCTCAAATTCCTGGTTTCAAGGGATCCTCTCACCTCAGCTTCTCAAGTAGATAGGACTGACTATAAGTGTGAACCACCACATCTGGCTTTTTTTTTTTTATTTTGTAGAGACAGGGTCTCGCTGCTATGTTGCCCAGGGTGGTCTCAAACTCCTGGCCTCAAGGGATCCTCCCACCTTAGCCTCCCAAAGTACTGGGATTACAGGTGTGAGCCACCATGCCTGGCCTACATGTCATTTTAAAATAGCCACATAGGCC